ATGAAGCTTCTTTATTATGATCAATATTGAAGTAAGTCTTAAAAAGTTTTAAAAAGATCCACCGTTAAGAGACGAAAATTTTGAATTAACGCCCAAATTTCTAAATCCAAAATGTCAAATTTTGAAAAACTGAAACTTTTAAACAAAAGTTAGAATCTGGAGATTTAAAAATTTCAAATTTTGAGTCAAATTTCGATGTGTCAAATTTGGGGAACTTAACAACTGAATATTTTAATGACTATAGGTTTTGAAATTTGGAAATTCCATTTAAAAATCAGGGATTTTCTTAGCTTGGTGATTTAAAATCTAAAGATACGTGTTTAAACGATGAAATTTTCAGATTATTAACAAAACTGAAACGAGTTTTAGAAATTTTGTTTTAATGTTGAAAAACTTGTGGCTTCTGAGTTTAAAAGTTTTAAGTTTTGAACTTTAAAAAATCTGTCGTTCTGTCGAATCTTTAAAAAATCAAAGTTTGGAGTTTTAAGAAGCCAAAGTTTGAGGTTTGAAGAGTCTTCGATCTTTGAAATTTTGAAATTTAGGTTTAAAAGTCAGTCAACAAATGTAATTTTATTATTGTTTTTAATTCAGTAATTTTAAATCCTTCAAGATTAGGATTTGATATTTGAAAACACAATAGTTAAAAAAAATGAAGCTTCTTTATTATGATCAATATTGAAGAAAGTCTTAAAAAGTTTTAAAAAGATCCACCGTTAAGAGACGAAAATTTTGAATTAACGTCCAAATTTCTAAATCCAAAATGTCAAATTTTAAAAAACTGAAACTTTTAAAGGAAAGTTAGAATCTGGAGATTTAAAAATTTCAAATTTTGAGTCAAATTTCGATGTGTCAAATTTGGGGAACTTAACAACTGAATATTTTAATGACTATAGGTTTTGAAATTTGGAAATTCCATGTAAAAATCAGGGATTTTCTTAGCTTGATGATTTAAAATCCAAAGATACATGTTTAAACAATGAAATTTTCAGGTCATTAACAAAACTGAAACGAGTTTTAGAAATTTTGTTTTAATGTTGAAAAACTTGTGGCTTCTGAGTTTAAAAGTTTTAAGTTTTGAACTTTAAAAAGTCTATAGTTCTATCGAAGATTTAAAAAAACAATGTTTGGTGTCTTAAGGAGCCAAAGTTTGAGGTTTGAAGTTCCTTCGATCTTTGAAATTTTGAAATTTAGGTTTAAAAATCAGTCAACAAATGTAATTTTATTATTGTTTTTAATTCAGTAATTTTAAATCCTTCAAGATTAGGATTTGATATTTGAAAACACAATAGTTAAAAAAAATGAAGCTTCTTTATTATGATCAATATTGAAGTAAGTCTTAAAAAGTTTTAAAAAGATCTACCGTTAAGAGACGAAAATTTTGAATTAACGTCCAAATTTCTAAATCCAAAATGTCAAATTTTGAAAAACTGAAACTTTTAAACAAAAGTTAGAATCTGGAGATTTAAAAATTTCAAATTTTGAGTCAAATTTCGATGTGTCAAATTTGGTGAACTTCACAACTGAATATTTTAATGACTATAGGTTTTGAAATTTGGAAATTCCATTTAAAAATCAGGGATTTTCTTAGCTTGAAGATTTAAAATCTAAAGATACATGTTTAAACGATGAAATTTTCAGGTCATTAACAAAACTGAAACGAGTTTTAGAAATTTTGTTTTAATGTTTAAAAACTTGTGATTTCTGAGTTTAAAAGTTTTAAGTTTTAAAATTTAAAAAATCTATAGTTCTGTCGAAGCTTTAAAAAAACAATGTTTGGAGTTTTGAAGAAACCACAGTTTGAGGTTTGAAGAGTCTTCGATCTTTGAAATTTTGAAATTTAGGTTTAAAAGTCAGTCAACAAATGTAATTTTATTATTGTTTTTAATTCAGTAATTTTAAATCCTTCAAGATTAGGATTTGATATTTGAAAACACAATAGTTAAAAAAAATGAAGCTGCTTTATTATGATCAATATTGAAGTAAGTCTTAAAAAGTTTTAAAAAGATCCACCGTTAAGAGACGAAAATTTTGAATTAACGTCCAAATTTCTAAATCCAAAATGTCAAATTTTGAAAAACTGAAACTTTTAAAGGAAAGTTAGAATCTGGAGATTTAAAAATTTCAAATTTTGAGTCAAATTTCGATGTGTTAAATTTGGGGAACTTAACAACTGAATATTTTAATGACTATAGGTTTTGAAATTTGGAAATTCCATTTAAAAATCAGGGATTTTCTTAGCTTGAAGATTTAAAATCCAAAGATACATGTTTAAACAATGAAATTTTCAGGTTATTAACAAAACAGAAACGAGTTTTAGAAATTTTGTTTTAATGTTGAAAAACTTGTGGCTTCTGAGTTTAAAAGTTTTAAGTTTTGAACTTTAAAAAGTCTATAGTTCTATCGAAGATTTAAAAAAACAATGTTTGGTGTCTTAAGGAGCCAAAGTTTGAGGTTTGAAGTTCCTTCGATCTTTGAAATTTTGAAATTTAGGTTTAAAAGTCAGTCAACAAATGTAATTTTATTATTGTTTTTAATTCAGGAATTTTAAATCCTTCAAGATAAGGATTTGATATTTGAAAACACAATAGTTAAAAAAAATGAAGCTTCTTTATTATGATCAATATTGAAGTAAGTCTTAAAAAGTTTTAAAAAGATCTACCGTTAAGAGACGAAAATTTTGAATTAACGTCCAAATGTCTAAATCCAAAATGTCAAATTTTGAAAAAGTGAAACTTTTAAACGAAAGTTAGAATCTGGAGATTTAAAAATTTCAAATTTTGAGTTCAACTTCGATGTGTCAAAGTTGGGGAACTTAACAAGTCAATGTTTTATTGACTGTAGATTTTGGAATTTGGAAATTCCATTTAAAAATCAGGGATTTTCTTAGCTTGGAGATTTAAAATCCAAAGATACATGTTTAAACGATGAAATTTTCAGATTCTTAACAAAATTGAAACAAATTTTAGAAATTTTGTTTTAATGTTTAAAAACTTGTGGCTTCTGATTTTAAAAATTTTAAGTTTTGAACTTTAAAAAATCTGTAGTTCTATCGAAGCTTTAAAAAATCAAAGTTTGGAGTTTTAAGAAGCCAAAGTTTGAGGTTTGAAGTTCCTTCGATCTTTGAAATTTAGAAATTTAGAAGATTTAAAAGTCAGTCAATAAAAGTAATTTTTTTATTGTTTTTAATTCAGTAATTTTAAATCCTTCGCGATTTAGGACTTGATATTTGAAGACACAATAGTTAAAAAAAAATGAAGCTTCTTTATTATGATCAAAATTGAAGTAAGTCTTAAAAAGTTTTAAAAAGATCTATCGTTAAGAGACGAAAAATTTGAATTAACGTCCAAATTTCTAAATCCAAAATGTCAAATTTTGAAAAACTGAAACTTTTAAAGAAAGTTAGAATCTGGAGATTTAAAAATTTCAAATTTTGAGTTCAACTTCGATGTGTCAAATTTGGGGAACTTAACAAGTGAATGTTTTAATGATTATAGGTTTTGAAATTTGTAAATTGCATTTAAAAATCAGGTTTTCTTAGCTTGGAGATTTAAAATCTGAAGATACATGTTTAAACGATGAATTTTTCAGATTATTAACAAAACTGGAACGAGTTTTAGAAATTTTGTTTTAATGTTTAAAAACTTGTGGCTTCTGAGTTTAAAAGTTTTAAGTTTTGAACTTTAAAAAATCGATAGTTCTATCGAAGCTTAAAAAAAACAATGTTTGGAGTTTTAAGAAGCCAAAGTTTGAGGTTTGAAGTTCATTCGATCTTTGAAATTTAGAAATTTAGAAGGTTTAAAAGTGAGAGTCAACAAATGTAATTTTATTATTGTTTTTAATTCAGTAATTTTAAATCCTTCAAGATTTAGGATTTAATATTTGAAGACACATTAGTTAAAAAAAAAATGAAGCTTCTTTATTATGATCAAAATTGAAGTAAGTCTTAAAAAGTTGTAAAAAGATCTATCGTTAAGAGACGAAAATTTTGAATTAACGTCCAAATTTGTAAATCCAAAATGTCAAATTTTGAAAAACTGAAACTGTTAGACGAAAGTTAGAATGTTTATATTTTTTGAATTTGTAGTCCATGCTTAAACGATAAAACTGTGCTGATGTTGAAATTTCAAAATTTTAATTTTAAGTCGTGGTAACTTGAGAATTTTGGAAAAAAAAATTCACAGTGTAGACAGTCAAGTTTTATCCTCAGATTTCTGTTTTTGGCCTGCTTGAACTTCAACCAGACCAATATTGATACTTATTTGTTCGATATAAAAGTGCTACAACGTCCCAACAATAAACACATGTACCATATTACTAATATAGACTATTAGGTACTCCGATTTTACAACACATAATAACCACCTATTCCCATTTGATATTTTATAGTTTGACAGCCATAAAGCCTATTTTCGCCTTTACCCATAACTTCGTTATCACCAACCTCCATGAATTTTAATGCATTTGCCTTTCAAATTTCAGTCCCTACCAAACGTTATTCGACTTTCAACCGCCGCCGAAAAAATGATTAAATGATCCTTATCATTATTACCGCGATTTTAGCGTTATTACACTGACCCTGACAAAACGACTTCAAAATTATTATTGCATAACGACGCACAAACACACAAATGCGCAGCAACTTTCCAGTGACGCCATCACCTTTCCGGTGGGGGCGACCCCATGCATCTAGCGGGCTCCCGATTTCGTCGCGACTCACCGTACAACCCCAACGGAGCCGTCTTTCAGGCCCGTTTTCTTACCCCTTCCAGACCGGGTTTCGACCCCTGTCCGGTCTGCAGTTGCATCCCTGCGTTGCATCGGACTGACGATGTGAGTTTCGCGCTTTCCCAATATTTCGTTCTTCCGGATACGCGAAGAAATGCCAGTCGGCAGGTTTAACGAACTGAACAGGACTTGCATAAGCACATTTTAGTTCGATTGCATTTCAAATGGAGATGTTGCATAAAAAGATGTTTATTGATTTGTTGTTTTTCTTGCAGGGTACAGGTTCGAGGTGCTCGAAACGGTGAATCTGACGCTGGAACCGGGAATATGGTGAGTAGGCTGGGGATTTGGGTGAGGGGGTCGGGAATCGGGTTTAGTAGAGTTTATATTTTGATTTCATATGGAAATTTTGTTCGTTGGAAGAGCTTTGGTAAAAATTTTAGTTACGAGTTGTATATCAAGTATTGATTTATGAATAGTAGTAAAACCAATGAAGAATGGCAATAATGAAGCAAGTAAAAATTAATGGAGTATTCGATAGGTTTAGCATGAGAAGATGAAAGTACTTGAAATTGACCGACTTTAATTTAACGTATAAAATTTTAATGTGAGTTTTAATATGTTATTTAATAAACCCACACTAGTCGAACGATAGTGTTTAATCTCAAGTATAAGTTCTACTTTACATCGATTACACTGATTCCAGCACTTGACTGATGTACCGTGTGTTTATTTTGGCAAGACAAACCCATGGCCTGTACTGGCTGATAATCCAAAACCGGTAGAACTGTGTTGACACAAGTACTTATCCCAACATTCTTCGAAGATAAATAATCGGTTATTTTGATTCCTTGGTCGCTTTCATTTGGTAAACAAGCCATTTAAAACCCATCGCAGCAGAAGGACATCCTCTTATCACACACCTACATCGCCTTATCAGTCATCCCAGCAAACCCACAGTCCGAATTGCAGAAAGCGAGCACCTCCAACTCGAAATTCATGCATTCAACATGAATATGAGTTTTTTCTTATCAGTTATTGAACAGAAACCAATCGTGTTTGACATTAACCGCCCCACTTCTTGCCGTTGATAATAATAGCACACGTCCATTGCGCCGTCTCTTTCCGACACGCCGCAATCAAGCCGTCAGACGGAGACGCCGCAAACTTTGAACTTTTTTCGAAACGACTGATACGTTCTTGAATTTTCCTTCGAGTCGATTTTGTGGCAGCAAAGCGTGCTTTCGTGTGAAGTTTTTGCGGGACACAAAGTACTTTTGGGCCGAGGAGTGCGTAGAAAGCGGTTTCTACGGCTTGGATTGTGAGGTAGATGTTGTGTGGTATTTTTGGGGAGTTCCGGCTAACTTCGAAGGGTCGAAGGGTTACATCACTGCGCTAGACGATTAGATGCGCTTATCTGGAGTGTTTGTTAATGTTGTTTATTCTGAGATATCTGAACGCATGTTACCAATTCGGGTTGTCGTGGCTTGACATTGTCCGATTTTTTGTTCTAGTTCCAAAGACGATGAGATAGACAGCAACTGCGTGGTGAGGGCTAGAGGACTTCCTTGGCAGAGCAGCGATCAGGACATCGCTAAGTTCTTCAGCGGACTAAATGTCGCCAAGTAAGTACCGGGGAACAGGTGGCTTATCGGCTCTTCCGTTGGGTAATGGCTCACGAATTGGAAAAATGCGTGCCTCATTACGTTGCTCATTTGTGAGGCAATTACTCCACGGAGCTCCTAATTATGGCAATTTTTGACGCATAACGTCCAATCGGTTTTTAATTTCGAACTAGTTTTGACTAAGTGAGGGATCTGGGATGAGAAGTGAACTTTTGTGCGGAGTATCTAATCGCTGGAACGATTGCTTCACTGTTCAAAGGACTATTTACAGTGTTCTTGTCCGTGTTTGCTTAGAAAATTCGTGACACAGAATTGTTTCTTGTGATTGGACTTCCGTAAATATAAACTACGTCGAGTGTTTTTTTTTTAAACAGTTTGACCATTTTCAGCTGTTGGTGTTTATCGTGGTCTTGGAGGTGTGGTGTTTTTGTTTTACAGTTTATCTTTTTTGTTCTTAATGTTTGATGGTCACAGTGCGGCTCGTTTTTATCTCGGATTTGTAAACTAACTCAGCGATTGTTCGAAAATTAACAATGGGACTCGAAAATTGGGAAAAATCATTGTTCTCAATTAAGTAGAAAGTCTTTTGTTTAATAATGCGAGTTATTTGTGGCGGTAAATTAAAAAACACAGAGGAGGCTTTATTATTTAAAAAAATAACACAATTTTTTACTTTTATTTATTTATTTTTTTTTGATAAAAAAATCAAGGTTAGAATTTTCTTCACCAGAGTTACTAGTAGTTGTGCAATGGTTTCGTTATCCCATTGGGTTAATTGCTTTCTAACAATTACACAAATGGTCGTAGAAAAAACAACAACAATTTTTAATGTGTGGCTTATTTTTTACTTTAATCACAATGGAATTATTTATTACTTGAGGCATATAAAAGCAGCCAATGCATACTAAATTTTTTGTTTCGTTGAGGAAGACCTCCATTTTGTAGCACATTTGTTGTAAAAAATTGTATATAAGATAGACATTTCGTTTTGCTCGAAATAAATAGTGTCTGGCGTTTCATAACTCCTAAATTATGAAAAAGTGGGTCCGCCATTTGACCATTCCCATCAATAATTTGATGACGTCACATGAAACACAGAATTTAGTAAGTAATTTGAATTTCATTGTCTGTTGTTTCAAAAAAAGGCTATTTAACCACCCAGAATTCCTATTTTCTGTCTCGGAATTGTTAGTTTGAATATCAGAATTGGGTCTTTGAAACTTGGAATTCGATCTTCGTAAGTATGAATTTTGATTTAACAAGTATGAATTCCAACTTTGTAACTCCGAAACTTGTCTCTACATTCTATTCGTATTTTCAGTTTCTTAATTTTTAATAGCTCGATTTTTCGTTTCTTCAAGTTTTCGTTTTACGTTTCTTTTCGACTATTCAATTTTAAATTTTTTGATTTTTCGATTTTTCTATTTGTAAATTTTAGGTTTCTCGTTTTTTCAATGTTGGGATTTTTTGTTTTTTGATTTTTAATTTTTCGATGTTTCAAGTTTTCATTTCTTAAAAATTTGGAATTGCGTTTTTTTATATTTTCATTTTTTAATTTTAAAATAATATGTCGATTTTTGGATTTTACAATCTTGCAGTTTTTCGATTTTTCAACCTCTCGATATTTTAAGTTCTCATTTTTCTATTTTTCCACATTTTAATTTCGCGAATTTTTTATTATCCTTTTCGATTTTTCAGTTTCTCAATTTTTAATTATTCGAATTTTCGTTACCTCAAGTTTTTGATTTGAATTTTTCGATTTTTCAACTTTTTGTTTCTTAAATGCTTGGATTTGCAAGTTTTTTTCCAATTTTGTAACTATAATATGTCGATTTTTCGATTTTACAATTTTGCATTTTTTTTATTTTTCAACCTTTCGGTATTTCAAGGTCTCAATATTTCGATCTTTGCACAGTTCAATTTCGCAATTTTTCAATTATTCTTTTCGATTTTTCAGTTTCTTAATTTTTAATAATTCGATTTTCGGTTCTAGAAGTACCCGTTTTACTTTTCTTTTCGACTTTTCAATTTAAAATTTTTCTCTTTGTAAATTTTGGATTTCCATTTGCGTTTTTTTTATTTTTTCACTTTTTTTAATTTCAAAATTTGTCGATTTATGGTTTTTACAATTTTGCAATTTTTCGATTTTTCAGCCTCTCGATTTTTAAGTTCTCAATTTTTCTATTTTTCCACATTTTAATTTCCCAATCTTTTGGTTATTTTTTCAATTTTTCAGTCTCTCAATTTTTAATTGTTCGACTTTGATTATTTTTGGATTTTCAATTAAAAATTTCGCGATTTTCCATTTTTCGATTTTTAAATCTTCATTTTTCGATTTTTGGTTCTTAAATTTATCGATTTTAAAGTTTCTCAACTTTTAAATAATTTAGTTTTCTGTTTTTCAGTTTTGGGATTTTTTGTTTCTTAATTTTTAATTTTTCAAATTTTCATCTCTTAAATGTTTCGATTTGGGTTTTCTTTTATTTTGGTATTTTTTTTAATTTTAAAATTTGTCTATTTTTGGATTTTACAATGTTGCAGTTTTTCGATTTTTTGACCTCTCGATATTTTAAGCTCTTATTTTTCTATTTTTCCACATTTTAATTTCGCAATTTTTTTTATCCTTTTCGATTTTTCAGTTTCTCAATTTTTAATTATTCGAATTTTCGTTACTTCAAGTTTTTGATCTGAATTTTGTTTTTGAGTTTTCAATTTTTGGATTTGCAAATTTTAGATTTATCGATTTTTCCAATCTTTTAATTTTTTAACTCTTCAATTTTTGGTTTCTTCAACTTTTCAATTTTACAATTTCTCAATTTTTTGATAATTTAGTTTTCTGTTTTTTAAATTCTGGGATTTTTTGCTCCTTGATTTTCAATTTTTCATTTCTTAAATGTTTCGATTTGCGTTTTTTCAATATTTCCATTTTTTAATTTTAAAATTTGTCGATTTTTGGGTTTTACAATTTTGCAGTTTTTCGATTTTTCAACCCCTCGATATTTTAGGTTCTCAATTTTTCTATTTTTCCACATTTTGACTTCGCAATTTGTCGATTATCCGTTTGGACTTCTCAGTTTCTGAATTTTTAATTGTTCGAATTTTCGTTAGTTCAAATTTTTGACTTGGATTTTGTTTTCGAGTTTTCCATTTTTGGATTTCTCAATTTTTCCAATCGTAAATTTTTGACTTGGATTTTGTTTTCGAGGTTTCCATTTTTGGATTTCTCAATTTTTCCAATCGTTTAATTATTCCATTTTTTAATTTTTAACTCTTCAGTTTTTAGTTTCTTCAATTTTTCGATATCACAATTTCTCACTTTTTGCATAATTTAGATTCCTGTTTTTCATTTTTGGGAGTTTTTGTTTCTTAGTTTTTAATTTGTAGATTTTTCAACTTTTTGTTTCTTAAATGCTTGGATTTGCAGGTTTTTTTCCAATTTTGTAATTATAATTTGTCGATTTTTCGATTTTACAATTTTGCATTTTTTTTTATTTTTCAACCTTTCGGTATTTCAAGGTCTCAATATTTAGATCTTTCCACATTTCAACTTCGCAATTTTTCAATTATTCTTTTCGATTTTTCAGTTGCTTAATTTTTAATAATTCGATTTTCGTTTCTAGAAGCTCCCGTTTTACTTTTCTTTTGGACTTTTCAATTTAAAATTTTTCTCTTTGTAAACTTTGGATTTCTCTATTTTTCCGATCTTTCAATTTTTCCATTTGCGTTTTTTTTTTCATTTTTTTTAATTTCAAAATTTGTCGATTTATGGTTTTTACAATTTTGCAATTTTTCGATTTTTCAGCCTCTCGATATTTTAAGTTCTCAATTTTTCCACATTTTATTTTATCAATCTTTTGGTTATTCTTTTCAATTTTTCAGTCTCAATTTTTAATTGCTCGATTTTCATTATTTTCGGATTTTCAATTAAAAATTTCTCAATTTTCTATTTTTCGATTTGTAAATTTTGGATTTTTCCGATGCTTTAGTTATTCCATTTTTCGATTTTTAACTCTTCATTTTTCGATTTTTGGTTTCTTAAATTTATCGATTTTAAAGTTTCTCAACTTTTAAATAATTTAGTTTTCTATTTTTCAGTTTTGGGATTTTTTGTTTCTTGATTTTTAATTTTTCGATTTTTCAATTGTTCATCTCTTAAATTTTTCGATTTGGGTTTTCTTTTATTTTGACTTTTTTTTTATTTTAAAATTAGTCGATTTTTGGATTTTACAATTTTGCACTTTTTCTGTTTTTCCACATTTCAATTTCGCACTTTTCCAATTATTCTTTTCGATTTCTCAGTTTCTTAATTTTTAATAGTTTGATTTTTTTTCTGAATTTCAATTTCATTTTCTAGTTTTGAAATTATCACTTTAAATTTAAATTTCGAACTGTACGTTGCAGTTTTACGTCTTGAATTCCCAACCCCACAAGCAGGAATTTCGATTTTCAATTCCCAACTTTCTGATTTTTATTTAGGAATTCCCATTTTGAAGCAGGGACTTTAAAATTCGGAACACCTTTGTAACTTGGAGTTCTGACTTATCAGAACAGAATTTCAACTCTGAAGATTTTCAAATTTATGACTCGGAATTTGATTTTGAAGTATTTAATTCCAAATTTTGCCTTTAGATTTCTGAATTTCAGTTTTATAACTAGTACTACTTTAGTTTATAATATTTTTACTTCTTATTCCGGGATTCTTGTTTTGAAACAGGAGTTTTAAAACTTTATGACATGGAATTCTAACTTTCTAGGACAGAATTGTAACTCCAAAAATGGAAAATATTTTGTCGGATTTCTAAATTCACAGTTCTAGTCCAACAACTGGAAATTCCTATTTTCTGTCGCAGAATTCTTTTCTGAAACTCGAACTTATGTATTTGAATTATTAAAAATTACTCTTCAGTGTCTCTGAGAACCTAAATTATTGATAAGAGAATTTTTTATTGTCCAGAAAATGTGAATCCCAAAAATGTTTGTGATTATCTGTTAAACGTGCTCGCTGCGCTCACAGGAAGATCTCGAGAATTATTATAATAAAAACTAATTCGTTGGTAAATTTTTTTGACACTAAATTAGTTAAAAAAAAGAACAAATACATATTGTCAAACAATTTTGATTTTTTTTTCGGGTAAAAACTCAACACGGGTTCATAAACTACACGTGTAGGAGTGTTATTTTATAAAAAAAAATTTACGACACATCCACTCTGGTCTCTGATAGTTCAATTTGTGACACTCTTGTCGTTAATAAAAATTCTGCAAGCCACAGTAACTCGGAAGATTCGTAACCTCAATCTCGGTTACTATTTTATGTTTGTAATATAATCTTTAGTGTGGGAACATAACATCGTTCCATGGCCAAAAACAATGAGCAAAACTACGAGATAATCAAGTTGTGGGTCGAAATTTTTATCTTTTCGACAATCATAGGTCCTACGGTTGATTTAATTGTTTATGTTTGCAAACTACTGAGTACGTAATAAAAGTCGGCTGACGTCATTAAATTGAACGTTGCGATACGACTCGCTGTAGAACCGAGTGGGTTTTGTTATAATATGAACATAATTAGCTATTTTATGACTCTTGAACTAAATTTGAATTCGATAACGCTCAGGAAACACACTGACAGCTTATGCAAAAGACGCCACCACTTTTGCTTGCACCGCAGTGTCAGCCGCATTTAATCATGCGATAACCCTACCTTCTGTGCCATCGCAACCCAATTATTGCAAAAACTACTTTTACCGCGCTATCGCAAAAACTGAAATTTGCTCGCCGGTGTATCGCCACGCGCTTATCTCCACGCCATTACCATAACAAAAATTACCTCGATAACCGCTCGTTCCGCCACTGCCGGCTTCCAGCACGTACGTTCCGAACTTTGTTCCTTAACCAGTGCGTGTTTTTCCAGGGGCGGCGTAGCTCTGTGCTTGTCGCCGCAAGGGAGACGGAACGGAGAAGCTTTAATCAAGTTCGAGAGCCAAGAGCACAGGGACATGGCGCTGAAGAGGCACAAGCACCACATCGGCCAGCGCTACATCGAGGTGTACAGGGCCTCCGGCGAGGACTTCCTGTCGGTGGCCGGGGGCAAGAGCTCCGAAGCCCAGGCCTTCCTGTCCAGAGGCGCCGCCGTCATCGTGCGGATGAGGGGGCTGCCGTACGACTGCACCGCCAAACAAGTCGTGAGTAACATTTTCGAGCAGCGGTCGAAAAGTTTGGGGACCGCAGTAATTCCGTTACGCGGCGGTTTTTTACCGAGAACTCGTTCTTCTGCATTTTTGAAACTGGCTGGCCCTAGGACAGGACCTGGACTTGTTTTCGACGGCGTTTTATAGTGTTATTAACGCGACTTGATGACGGTTTTTTTTTATTTCAGTTGGACTTCTTCGCCTCGGGCGAAAACTCGTGTACGGTCCTGGACGGCGCCGACGGCGTGCTTTTCGTCAGGAAGCCGGATGGAAGAGCCACTGGCGACGCTTTCGTGCTTTTTGCGAACGAAGCCGACGCCCCCAAAGCTCTCTCGAAACATAGGGAATGTATAGGTTCTAGGTATATCGAATTGTTTAGGTCTACGACGGCCGAGGTGCAACAGGTGAGTTGTGGAGGGTTTGGTGTGGTGTGGGACTCATTTGGGGTGGTTTCAGGTACTTAACAGGTCGCTGGAATCGCGAACTTACGAACCCGAACCTTTGCCGCCTTTAATACCACACATGCCTTTATTGCCTCAACATTATATTACGTCTGGGACCAAAAAAGAATGTATTAGGTTAAGAGGACTGCCGTACGAAGCTCAAGTCGAACATATTTTAGAGTTTCTAGGAGATTATGCCAAAAATATTATTTTCCAAGGGGTTCACATGGTGTACAATGCCCAGGTAAGCAGTTTGACAGGTATAATACAGTATTATGTATCAAACTCAGATTTTTTCATGTTCTAAACCCCTGAAAACAGCTCAAACAGCACCATTGTGTTCTGTTTTTCCACTGCTTTATGTGTGGAACATAATAGTTATTAGCACAATTTATTTAAATCATAATGTTCCATTTTACTGATCTCAGTTGAGGTCGATTTTAGAAAGAATTGCTGGTTGCATGTATGGTGACAAATGGCGCGTAATTCAAACCTGCCTCTTGTCTAACGTTCCAACTTTTTTGGTTTTTTGTATGAAAAAATAATATTAATATAGATGTATCATACATCAAACTGCAGCTTTTTCCATATTCTAGAGCGCAGAGACCAGTTCAATCAAGTAAAAAAATATGGCTGAGAAATATCGTAAAAAAAGCACCATTGTATGTTTTCTTTTCAAGTTTTTTGAGTCATAACCATCATACAATCGCTTGAAAATTCGCACATGGATAAAACATCACTTTTTATAGGGCGCAGAGTCATTAAATGTTTGTTAGTGGTACAATTTGTTTAAATAATAATATGTTTATTAAAATCAAAATATACCACAAATTAATGCAAAATACGTCGAATAATTTTAACAGGAATATCTGAGGAAAATTAATGATCTATTGGTTAGCAGAGTTTTTAACAAAAACTAACAATTATTGATAAAAATGGGTATCAATTCCACAGCATTTGAGCAGTTAGTTCAGTACTTTGCCGATAGGAGCGCGACTAAAATTTACGGAAGCGACTTTCCAGGTAAAACCCTTATCGCCTGCTCTACCATAAGCTGATTGTTAGAGTTCTCGGCTGATTTTTCAAAAATGTACTCCTAATAAATTATTAAAGTACATAAAAAAATAGAAACAAATTTTATTTATTTTAAAAAAATCTCTCGCAAAGGCAGGTTCCTCTTTCTTCTTGAATCAATTATTTCGGGCAATAATGCGCCAAAGTAAAATCTGCCAAGTTTATCTGCCATCTTTTTACATATTTTTTCGTCTTTATAAATTTTTTGTATATTTATTGCTTTGGGTGTCCACACAACAAAATAAACTTGTGAAATACCCGTAACAAGCATTGGACTTGAAAGTAGTAATCATGATTTTTTTTTACTTTCAATTCTCTGTCTGTCAATGTACAAAATTTGATTATTTTTTTTCTAACCGCTTCTTCGCGAGACAAATCTTGCGATTTTGAAGGGCATTTAATTTCGACTAATGCACTCCTATCCTCTAGAACCCTGTCTGGACTAGCAGCCAAGTAAGGAAATTGTTTTGAAATAAACAAGCCACACCGTTCAGTTTTTATATTTATATTTATTTCAAAACACTTGACAGCTTTTTTCTCACTTTGCTGTCCATAGTATGTATGACTGTTACCTCTAAATGTACTGTACAACAGAGACTCTACAGTTTTAGCTATTGCTGTAGTCGGTCTAAGTTTGTAAATACGTCCAAAATTTGAAGCCGTAACCCTAATTCTCTTTCTTTTGCCCAAATGTGCCTGTTGCCTAGTGTCTATTTCAATTTGGTCTAAATTCAAAGATAACTTTCTCAAAAAAACCTCTTTGGCTGTCACAAATGTTTCTACATCCATGACAGGATTTTCTAAAAAATATTTAAACCATAATCGCAGTCGGAATCAGCATACGTACATTTTTTACGACATACATATTTTTTTTACGAATACTTTGTCTAAGACGAGCTTGTTTTATAGACAAACAATATATTTTTTTATTAAACTAGGACCGTTTTAATCACAATATATTTACTTATCCCCTCTAAAAAATTGATGACGTCACCTCAAAATTTTGCTGAATAAATCCTATCTAAATTGTATAAAATATGCAGAGCCTCTTCTTGTGATTCATCATTCCATTCATGTTTTTTGGATTTGCATATACAGGATGACCCCAAAAATTAATGAATGCGTAAATTTATTTTATTGATTTAATCAGGAACTACAGAACCCAATGCTTTGAAATCTTGCAAATGTTTTAAGGTTATAAAGAGCATAATAAATTTTTAGTCAAAATATATTTGCTTATCCCCTCCAAAAAATTAATGACGTCAGCTCAAAAGTTTGCCGTACAATCCTATTTAAAATTTACAAAATATGATGAGTCTCTTCTTGTAATTTATCATTCCATTCATATTTTTTGGATTCGGATATACAGGGTGACCCAATAATTTAATGAATGCGCAAATTTATTTTATTGATTTAATCAGGAACTACAAAACCGAATGCTTTGAAATCTAATGTGAAAAAAAAACATGTCACGTTTCCGATAGCGAGGGAAGTACTGTCTAAACTCTTCAGACCAATTTTTTTGAATTTCCCATTTTTCCGTTTCTCAATTTTTCAATATTTCAGTTTGGGATTTTTTCACTGTTTCGATTCTTTAATTTTCTTTCCATTTTTAGGTTTTTCAATATTTCAGCTTTGGAATTTTGCAATATTTCGTTTCTACAATTTTTCAAATTTTTGATATTGTGTTTTCTCGGTTTTTAAATTTTTCGATATTTTAATTTTTCAGTTTTTAAAGTTTTAGGTTTTTAGATTTCTCACTATCTCGACTTTTCGATTTTTCAGTTCCATGATTTTTCAATTTGTCGAATTTTTAAATTTTAGATTTTTTGTTCTCGATCATTCCATTTTCTGAGTTTTCAGGCTTAGATTTTTTTTGTTGTTCAATTCTTGGATTTTTAAAATTTTTGCTATTTTAAATTTTCCTATCTATCAACTTACTGGGATTTCAACGTTTTGATTTTTTGATTGTTCAATTTCTCGATTTTTTTAATTTTTAGTTTTTGATACGGATTTTTTTTTTAATTTTCAGTTTTTCAGTTCATTAACTTTACGATATTCCAGTTTTACGATTTTTAATTTTTTTTATTTTTCAGTTTTCAATTTTTGACGTTTCTAAATTTTTGAATTTTTCAATTATTCGATTAACTGATTTTTTGATTTTCGCATTTCTCTATTTCTTGACTTTTCAATTCTTTCTTCAATTGTGATTTTTCAATTTTTCGATTTCTGGATTTTTCAGTGTTTCAGTTTTGGATTTTTTCACTTTTCCGATTCTTCAATTTTCTTTCCATTTTTCAGTTTTTCAAGATTTCAGTTTTGAATTTTTTCACTTTTTCGATTTTTCAATTTTCCTTCCATTTTTCAGTTTTTCAGTATTTCAGTTCTGAAATTTTGCAATGTTTCGGTTTTTCAATATTTCAGCTTTGGAATTTTGCAATATTTCGTTTCTTCAATTTTTCAAATTTTTGATGTTGTGTTTTCTCGGTTTTTAAATTTTTCGATATTTTAATTTTTCAGTTTTTAAAGTTTTAGGTTTTTAGATTTCTCACTATCTCGACTTTTCGATTTTTCAGTTCCATGATTTTTCACTTTGTCGAATTTTTAAATTTTAGATTTTTTGTTCTCGTTCATTCAATTTTCTGAGTTTTCAGGCTTAGATTTTTTTTGTTGTTCAATTCTTGGAATTTTAAAATTTTGTTTTTTTTTAAATTTTCCTATTTATCAACTTACTGGGATTTCAACGTTTTGATTTTTTGATTGTTCAATGTCTCGATTTTTTTTAATTTTTAGTTTTTGATACGATTTTTTTTTAATTTTCAGTTTTTCAGTTTATTAACTTTACGATATTCCAGTTTTACGATTTTTAACTGTTTTTATTTTTCAGTTTTCAATTTTTGACGTTTCTAAATTTTTGGACTTTTCAATTATTCGATTAACTGATCATTTCTCTATTTCTTGACTTTTCAATTCTTTCTTCAATTGTGATTTTTCAATTTTTCGATTTCTGGATTTTTTAGTGTTTCAGTTTTGGATTTTTTCACTTTTCCGATTCTTCAATTTTCTTTCCATTTTTCAGTTTTTCAAGATTTCAGTTTTGAATTTTTTCACTTTTTCGATTTTTCAATTTTCCTTCCATTTTTCAGTTTTTCAGTATTTCAGTTCTGAGATTTTGCAATGTTTCGGTTTTTCAATATTTCAGCTTTGGAATTTTGCAATATTTCGTTTCTTCAATTTTTCAAATTTTTGATATTGTGTTTTCTCGGTTTTTAAATTTTTCGATATTTTAATTTTTCAGTTTTTAAAGTTTTAGGTTTTTAGATTTCTCACTATCTCGACTTTTCGATTTTTCAGTTCCATGATTTTTCAATTTGTCGAATTTTTAAATTTTAGATTTTTTGTTCTCGTTCATTCAATTTTCTGAGTTTTCAGGCTTAGATTTTTTTTGTTGTTCAATTCTTGGATTTTTAAAATTTTTGTTTTTTTTTAATTTTCCTATTTATCAACTTACTGGGATTTCAACGTTTTGATTTTTTGATTGTTCAATTTCTCGATTTTTTTAATTTTTAGTTTTTGATACGATTTTTTTTTTTAATTTTCAGTTTTGCAGTTCATTAACTTTACGATATTCCAGTTTTACGAATTTTAATTTTTTTTATTTTTCAGTTTTCAATTTTTGACGTTTCTAAATTTTTGGACTTTTCAATTATTCGATTAACTGATTTTTTGATTTTCCCATTTCTCTATTTCTTGACTTTTCAATTCTTTCTTCAATTGTGATTTTTCAATTTTTCGATTTCTGGATTTTTCAATGTTTCAGTTTTGGATTTTTTCACTTTTCCGATTCTTCAATTTTCTTTCCATTTTTCAGTTTTTCAAGATTTCAGTTTTGAATTTTTTCACTTTTTCGATTTTTCAATTTTCCTTCCATTTTTCAGTTTTTCAGTATTTCAGTTCTGAGATTTTGCAATGTTTCGGTTTTTCAATATTTCAGCTTTGGAATTTTGCAATATTTCGTTTCTTCAATTTCTCAAATTTTTGATATTGTGTTTTCTCGGTTTTTAAATTTTTCTATATTTTAATTTTTCAGTTTTTCAAGTTTTAGGTTTTTAGATTTCTCACTATCTCGACTTTTCAATTTTTCAGTTCCATGATTTTTCAATTTGTCGAATTTTTAAATTTTAGATTTTTTGTTCTCGATCATTCAATTTTCTGAGTTTTCAGACCTAGATTTTTTTTGTTGTTCAATTCTTGGATTTTTAAAATTTTTGTTTTTTAATTTTTCCTATCTATCAACTTACTGGGATTTCAACGTTTTGATTTTTTGATTGTTCCATTTCTCGATTTTTTGAATTTTTAGTTTTTGATACGATTTTTTTTTAAATTTTCAGTTTTTCAGTTTATTAACTTTACGATATTCCAGTTTTACGATTTTTAACTGTTTTTATTTTTCAGTTTTCAATTTTTGACGTTTCTAAATTTTTGGACTTTTCAATTATTCGATTAACTGATTTTTTGATTTTCCCATTTCTCTATTTCTTGATTTTTCAATTCTTTCTTCAATTGTGATTTTTCAATTTTTAGATTTCTGGATTTTTCAGTGTTTCATTTTTGAATTTTTTCACTTTTTCGATTTTTCAATTTTCCTTCCATTTTTCAGTTTTTCAGTATCTCAGTTCTGAGATTTTGCAATGTTTCGGTTCTTCAATTTTTCCATTTTTTGATGTTTCGATTTCTCGGTTTTTCAATTTTTCGATAGGTATTTTAATTTTTCAATTTTTAAGTTCTAGATTTTCCGTTAACTTTATTGTTTTCCTTGATGTTTTGATTTCTCGATTTTTAAATTGTTTAATTTTTAGATTGTTCAATTTCTCGATTTATAGATTTTTTAATTTTTCGGTTTACCGATTTTTTTCATTTAAAAAGTTTCAATTTTTCAATTATTAATTTTTCGATTTTTCAATTTGAAAACGGTATTAATAATACATTTAGGCGAATAAACTAATAGACGGGCTTGATAAGCCTTGTTTGCTCTACAGTGTGTTTGAATAATATAATAATTAATAATATTAAAATTAATATGTCAAAAGAATAAGACAACAAATGGCGCGCAATTCAAACTTGTCTCTCGTCTAGCGTTCCCCCTTAAAATTTTCTAACCTCCATATTGTAAAATTTTATTGGTTTTCAAAAATAATATGCTCAAGTACGTAGTTTGTAGCATACAGGGTGTCTCAACGGTCTGGTAGCGGAACATCACACAGTTATTTACCGCGAACGATTGAAAATATTGTGTAAATTGTGTGATGTCAGTGAGTATAGTCACTGGTGATGTCATATTTGATTGAGCTGTTTATTTGGTTGCATACAAACAAGGGGCATGCAATAACTTTGTGTTTGGTTGTGTCCAGGGCCAGCCCAGCGGCGAGGCCTTCATCCAGATGGACTCCGAGCAATCCGCGTACACCACCGCCCAGCAGAAGCACCACCGCTACATGATCTTCGGCAAGAAGCAGCGCTACATCGAAGTGTTCCAGTGCTCGGGCGAGGACATGAATCTCGTGCTGACCGGCGGCATCCCCGCCCCCGTCTCCCCCGCGAAGGCCACCCCCGCGCTGCTCAGTCCCGGTATGTTACCTTCAATAGCAGCGCCTCTTCCACCTACTAATATCCCCCCGCCGCCTCCGCCAAACACCTCCGCGGTCGGTCAAATATCCCAAAACATGAGCGGCCCGCTGAGCTGGGACAACCCGGCCGTGTTCGCCCAGCAGCAGGCCCAGATCATAGCCCAGCAGAACCTGCTGGCGCGCCAGTCGCAGGCGCAGGCCCAGAACGAGATGCTGCTGATGAACCAGATCGCGCAGCACAACCTCGCCGTGCTGAACCAGAACGTGGGCCCGGTGTCGCCCACGGCGGGCTCGTCGGCGCTCCAGGGCTCGGTGCTGAAGAACGCGCCGATGCCGATGCACCTGTTGTCGCAGCCGCCGTTCGTGGTCATCCCGCCGCGGATGGCGCCGCTGGGGCTGCCGAGGCCCCAGATCGCTTACCCGCCGCACTTGCTCCCGGGCGCCGGGCCCGGGGTCATCCCCATGATGCAGCACGTGGCGATGAAGCGCACCTACGGGGACGCGTTCAACGAGCAGGCGGCGCCGGCCAAAAGGGCCTTCCATGCGCAGGGCACGCTGCCGGTGTACCAGCATTTCTACCCGAACATGTAGATAAGGGTGTATATAGTTGATATTTAGTGATATTAGATGGAACTTAAGTGCCTTACGATGACAAATAATTATTAAGGGCGAAAGTCTCCCGAATTTGACGTTTCATTAACGTATAGATATTTTCTAGAAAATATTTTCTAAAGTGGTACTTTCGTGCTTCTCGGCCTCGGAGCACGACTTAAAAACAACTTTAGCGCTAAGTTTTGTAAAATATTTTTCTATTGCTCATGCATATTTTTGTAAAATATATACATATTATACACCGAGTAGGTTTAGCAGAAAAGAGCAAGTGTTTGTACATAAAATTTGGATTAAATAAATTCTCAACTACAAGGAAATAACTTAGTTTAAAATCAGACTTGAAACTTTGTTAGATTGTGTGCATAAGTGGCAGTGGAATTTGGACTCTATTGTCTGCAAGTAATGATTGCTCTTCCCCCAGCGGACTGCACACTAGATCGAATAATTGTAACAATTAAAATATTTTGTAAAACAAAATAATTTTGAAACTTGCAAATTATATTAAAACTCTGACATAGAATTCCGTTTTTTCGTTGAAGCAGGGTGTGATTTTTATCTTTAGTCACTGCAGACTTGACCAATAATACTATACTATACCAAGTACTTAAGTAGGCAGTTGATTTCAAGTTGTCAAAAGTCAATTAGTAATTATTATTGTTAAATTTAATACTCTGGTAAACTATAAATTAACGTTTTGTAAGATATTTTTCTTTATTTGTATAAACGTATATTTATTGACGTCACACGGTTGCGTCACTTCGAATTTCGACCAATTAAAATCGTAGGAACCTTCAAATTCAAACAACTAATTGCAATCTCATTAAAACTTGTAGCAGTATCTATTTTCCTGTGTTGATTATTCAAATAACGTGTTGATTGCTTTGGAATTTATATGACACATTAAATAAATATTTTTCCGAGGACACGAAGCCTCCGAATTGGTTGAAATTTGAAAAGTGGCGCCAAAACAGTGAGTCGGCATCCTAAAAATGAACTTAATAGAACCGAAATAGTTAACAAGAGAAGAAATTTAAATAAAATTAACTGTTAACAAAATATTTTCGACAGCAAAATAATTTTGAAACGTAATTTTAGTCAAAAGAACTTCGTGCAGCAGTGTTAATATGGATAAATAATACTAGAGAAGTACTTAAGTTTATTCACTTGATAAGTCAGTTGATTTCAAGTTAGTCACTCAAGAACGACATTAGTCGTTGCAATTTAGTAATATTGTTAAATTTAATACTCTTTAGTAAAAAAAAAACTAAAAAATAACGTTTTGTTAAGATATTTCTCTTTATATTTATAAACGGTGTTATTTTGGTTAAGTGTGAATCGTTAATTCACAGTTAATTTAGTAGGGTTGACGTACACGTTTGAGTAATTTTTGACTAATTAAAACGAAACTTTCGGATTTGTCAAAATTTGAAAAGTGCGCCAAAAGTGTGACGTCAGCCCCATTATTTTTCTACCTTTTGGAGCTCAAACTACTAAATATCGATCGAAGACTAGATAATTGAACGTGTACTAACCAAATTACTTATAAATTTAGTAGATTTGCTTAAGATTATCGTTTAAAAAATGGCGCTTCGGGCCTGCTGGTGGCGTCGCGATTTAGTGGCGCTTTGGGATATTTGACGCGCCGCCGAGCGCACTGTTGACGGTGTTGGACCATTCCGCTGCAGCTATTACAAAGACTGTGTATAAAGAGAATAACCATTGTGATTTCGAGACATTCCACTTTTTTATTGTTATACATATCTTGTTGATATTTAGATGCATTTTCGTGAAGCGAGATATTTTTCGATGATTCTTTACATGTGTAAGACAGCTTTTGTCGTAACAAAAATGTCCGCAACTAATATAATACTGGATTGGGTACTTGTTGAGATGGTATAGGACAATGTATGCAGGCAGAAGCAAGTCGAGTCGGGCTTGCTTCTGGCCGCGCTCTGCGCGTCCATGTTGTGTTGATAGATGGCGTTGGGAGTTTTGGATCCGAGTAACGTATGAGTTACTTATTGTACAAACTGATGCATACAAGTTTATAATATTGGGTTTTTAATTTTTATTTAGATTATAGAATTTTTTGAGGGGGGCGGCGTGGAGAGCGGGCAGCGGTCCACGCCGCCGCCGTTGTAGGTTAGTGTAAGCCTTGCATTTCCTAAGCTTTCGCTAGATTTTGAACATGTCTTGGTGTGTGTGCTTTGATGTGGCTGCATTTGACTCGGTGATTGGTAGTGGTGTGGGTCAGTGGTGCCAACTGTCGGGTCAGAGTTAGAGTGCAGCCGTCAAAGCGATGGTTGAGTGGGTGGACTAACAACTTCTACGAATTCTTGGCCCTTGTTAGGCTTCATCTCTACTAACAGTACACGAGTCGGTTACTAGCATGTGCTACACCCGGGAGGCCACGACGCGTTCCATGTCTAGCGAAAGTCGCCAAGGAAGTGATAATATAACTCTACGACCACTTATATTTCTGTACTGTATGCAGCTCTTTACTTCATTACAATATGTTCTAATTATTTACACTTAATTAATAAATGTTTGTCACAATAATGCTTTGGGTTTGTTGTTAGTTTTCCTTTTGCTAAGCGTATGGCTCATTTTTGTGTTCACACTTCTTTTTCACTCACTCTTTCGTAAAAATGAGCGATACTGTACCATGTGGGCTAGTTATTGGTTATACCCGGGATTGGAGTCGTTCGTGGTGTCTGCTGCCGCCAATTGGTGGAACGGTAAACTCTGCTACACTGTGGTGAGTCTATTTTACTTTACTTAGAATAACACACTTCTTTGTCACACACCGTAGAGTTTAAAAACCATGGAGAAGCTTTCTTTTGTATGTGGGATGGCACTCGTGCCATTTTGGTGACAGTATTAAGCCACATTTCACGTCTGAGCATGGAGTTCGTTAATTCATCTCATCAAATAATCACTAAAAACACGTGAAGTCGCTCGTTGCGCGGCTGAACGCGCTCTCATTTCCGCGTTTTCTGTCTAGGTGGCAACATCATCCCGACGGCCTTCCACCCGGGCCCCAATTTCCCCGGATACGGTCCCGTGCAGATCGCAGCAGCGCCTCTGGGTCCGAGACAGTTCCTGCCGCCGCCGATCTTCTACTGGCCGTACCCTAGTCCCCCGGTCTCCCCTACGAACTACTACCCGACCATGCCGCCCCCTGGAGCCCTGCCCCCGCAGCAGCCGCAGCAAGCCATGGTAACGTAACGTTCCTCCGCGTGCGACATGACGCTAATTTGGGTTTCGCAGATGCCGCCAGAGTGCGTGGCGCTGCCGCCCATGGCGCCCATGCCCGCCATGGACGCCCGGATCATGGTAGATGGGATCCCCCGACCCGAGCACGACAAGGCCAGACAGAATTTCGTTCCGAATCAGTATGTTGAGTTGAAGATTTAATCAATCGCTCGTACCTAACCTAGTATCACCGAAATAAGAAAATGCTGAGATTCAGTGACATTGTAACTTCTAATTGCACATATCAGATACTTGTATAAATGGAATTAATATATAGCGACTATTTAAATTAATATATATTGCAGATTATAATATATTTTCTTGTTAATATAAATTATTATGTTTTTAAATTATCTTTATCTCAGTTTAGCGTAGATTAAGTACCTAAGATCGTAGCCGACTGGAGTGGGTTCACACACTAAATGTGGACGACCTCCGGGTTTTATTTAGCAGACTGCTTGTGAAATATTAGTGCAATTTTATCGATTGATTAAGGCACGAGATTATTGATTACTTTTAAGAAAAGAATGTTAACAACAAAAATTGCGTTGTCTTCCACTAGAGTAATCAATGTGATTGTTTTATTTTAAGGAATAGCCTCGCTTAACTGCTTACTCTATGTGATTTATTATTAGTAGCCTGTACTCGTAGTTACACTGCAATATCGTTACTGTTAGTGAAAGAATTGAATTCCTACGCAACGAAATAGTCATAATTAGTACGAGGCAAATTATGTTATCGTTAAGTTTAGCTAAGTTTCAAAAACAAGCTCAAAATTAGTAGGTAATGTGCAATAAACTAAGAGTTGAATAGGTATGTTTCTCTACAATATTCTATTAGTGATACTTATTAGTCAAAGTGACTATAAAACATAGTTGAATTTATTGTTAAATCGATTAAAACATATTATTTTATAGTATGTTATGAAGACATAGTCATAAAACATTTTATATAATTTTTCTTGATTTCGGTTTCGCGCCGAAAACATTAGTCGAGTTAGTGTACCTATCTATAATTAACTTCTAGTTGATAAGAATTTACTTAAATGACACTATTATTAAGTTTTCTAAGATCTAGATTCAACCAAGTGTACGAAGAGTGGCTGATTTTTTAAACAAGGTCTGAAGAAAGATGCAAAGAGTATCAGATTTAAACACTTTGCGCGCTGTTTTGTTTTCTTATAATATTTAAGACAATAAATATCGTTGTTACTTAAAATTTGCGTTTTTCTAGTTCTCCAGCAGAAAATGGCAGCTGTCATACAATTTGACAAGCAGGTATGCCATCATACAATTTTAAATAGGTTGCCAACCTGAAAACAAAATTAATAGTCACTTGTGTCTCCTTTAATCCCCAACCAGAGAACATAGAGAAGCGTCATAGTTTAAATTAAATGACGTTTGAGAACTCCTCCACTTATGTTGGCAACAGTGTTTGTGTCTAGCTAGCAATAAAATTAACTACAAAAAAAAAATGTCATAGACACTAGATTTACCAGAATATTATAAGCTGTTTACTGTAATGTTTCCTTCACTTTAATTCAGGTCACACGAATTACTTTTGAATTCTGTTTTTCGAAATTTTAGTTTGGGGACTTTTCAATTTACTCCTATTTATTATTCAATTTTTGGATTTTACAATTTCTCAATTTTTCAATTTCTCGGTTTTCAGTTTTTCTCTTCGACTTTACGATTTTTAAATATTTCGATTTTTCAATTTTTGACTTTTATAAACTCTTTATTTGTCGATTTTTCAATTGATTTTTCAGGTTTTTTGGTTTTTCAATTTTTCTATTTTTTCAGGTTTCGATTTTGCAACTTCACTTTTTTGGTTTTTCGATTTCTCAATTTTTTCATTTCTAAGTTTTTGGACATTTCAGTTTTGGAATTTTTCAGTTTACTTGTTATTCAATTTTTCGATCTTACGATTTTGCAGGTTTTGATTTTTCAATTTTTTTAAGGTTTCGATATTTCGACTTCACTTTTTTGATTTTTCGATTTCTCAAATTTTCGATTCTTTAATTCTCAGTTTTTGGATATTTCAGTTTTTCGATTCGTCAGTTTTTCTTTCATTTTTCAGTTTTGGGATTTTTCAATATTTCTGTTCTTCGACTTTTCCATTTTTGACTTCTGGATTTTTCGATGTGTAGACTTTTTACTTTTTCGATTTTTAAATTTTAAATTTCTCAATTTTTTGGTATTTTAATTTTTCAATATTAAAATTTTGGATTTTTCGATTTCTCGATTTTTCATTTCCGTTCTTCGATATTTCCGTTTTTCATGTTTTCGAATTTTTTGATTCTTAATCTATCGATTTTTCGACTTCCCGTTTTAGATTTTCTGTTTTTCAATTGTTGTTTCTTCAAATTTTCGATTTTTCAATTTTTCAAATTTGACATTTATAAACTGTCAATTATTCCATTTTCAATTAATCGATGTTTTGATTTTCCCATTTCTTGACTTTCGAGGGTTTCGATGTTCCTGTTTTTCAATTCTTTAATTTTTCGGTTTTTCATTTTTTAGTTTTTGTAAGGTTTCGATTTTTCGACTTCACTTTTTGGATTTTTCGATTGCTCAATTTTTCGACTTTTTAGGTTCTCAGTTTGTGGATATTTCAGTTTTCGGATTTTTCAGGTTTTCCATTTTTTAGCTTTTCAATATCTCAGTTTTGGGATTTTTCAATACTTCGATTCTTCGACTTTTCGATTTTTGACTCCTGGGTTTTTCGATGTGTCGATTATTTTACTTTTTCGATTTTTCAATTTTTCGATTTTTAAATTTTAGATTTTTTAATTTTTAAAATTTTAGATTTTTTGATTTCTCGATTTTTCAGTTCAATTCGTCGATATTTAAATTTTTCAAGTTTTTGAAATTTGCAAATGTTTCGGTTTCTTAATCTTTTGATTTTTCGACTTCCCGGTTTTAGATTTTCTGTTTTTCAGTTGTCATTTTGTCAAATTTTCGATTTTTTAATTTTTCAAATTTGACTTTCATAAACTCTCAATTTTTTATTTTTAACTAACCCCACCCACCTCCGTCTTTGAATTTAATTGGCTTATTTGATTAGATGAAGACTGATTTTTTTATTAAGTGGTCGAATCTACGTTTACAAAAATCAAAGGGGCCCCACCCACCCACCCGGTTTTCTTTGTGGATTTTTAGTTTTTAGATTTGTCGATTTTTTGGGTTTTAAATTCTTCAGTTTTTAACTTTTCGGTTTTTCGAATTTGGCCTATTTCGATTTTCGATTTGTAGATTTCAATTTTCCGGGATTTGAGTTTTGGAATTTTTCATTTTCTCGATTTTTCAGTTTTTATATTTTTCGACTTGAGGTTTTAGATTTTTCGGTTTTTCAGTTTTTCTATTTTTCAATTTTTCGATTTCTCAATTTATCGATATTTCGATGTTTCGGTTTTTTGATTGTTTAATTTGTGGATTTTTCGATTTTTCAATCGTTGGATTTTTCGATTTCTTAAAATTTGGATTTTCAGTTTTTCGATTTTTAAATTTTAGATTTTTTAACTCTTCAAATTTTCGATTCATTGATGTTTCGATTTTTCAATTGTTCGATATTTTCTTTTTCCAATTTTTTAAACTTTAGATTTTTCGACTTCTGGGTTTCTCTATTTTTCGGTTTTTCTATTTCTCGATTTTTACCTTTTGGATTTTTCAATTTTTAATACTTCGATTTCTGGAATTTTCATTTTTCAATTTTTCAACATTTTATTTATCAATTTTTAAAGCTTTAGAATTTCCGGTTGGTTCTTCGATATTTCAATTTTTTTTCAGATTTTCCAGTTTTTTGTTGTTTCGACTTCTGGGTTTTAGATTTTTCGATTTATCAGTTTTTTGAATTTTAATTTTTTCAGTATTTAACTTTTTGGTTTTTCAATTTGGCCTATCTCGATTTCTCAATTTTTCGATTTTTCAACATCTCGATTTTTCAATTTCTCGATTTCCCCCATTTCAGTTTTGGAATTTTTCCATTTTCTCGATTTTTCAGTTTTTCCATATTTATATTTTCCAATTTTTCACACTTTTGGGTTTTAGTTTTTCCAATTTTTTGATGCCGATTTCTCGGATTTCTCGATCCCTCGATTTTTCTAAACTTGAGAGTTTAGATTTTTCGAATTTTTTTTTATTTTCCAGTGTCTCTATTTTTCAATTTTTCCATTGCTCGATTTATCTAGATTTTGATGTTTCCATTTTTGATTGTTCAATCTGGGGAATTTTCGATTTATCAATTTTTGGATTTTTTTTTTAATTATAAATTTTAAAATTTTCGATTTCTCTTTTGATGTTTGGATTTTTCAATGTTTCAGTAATTGAATTTTGCGATGTTTCGCTTTTTGGACTTATTTGGTTTTTAGATTTATCGATTTTTTTTAATTTAGAACTTTTAAATTTTCGATTTTTCTTTTGATGTTACAATTTTCACAATGTTTGTGGATTTTTGTCTTTTCGGCTTACGATTTTTCTGTTTTCCAATTTTTCTAGGTTTCGATTTTAAAATTTTCGATTTCCCAATTTTTCGCAATTTCGGCCTTCGGAATCCCGTTTTAGATTTTCTGTTTTTCAATTGTCGTTTCTTCAAATTTTCGATTTTTCAATTTTTCAAATTTGACATTTATAAACTGTCAATTTTTCGATTTTTCAATTAATCGATGTTTTGATTTTCCCATTTCTTGACTTTCGAGGGTTTCGATATTCCTGTCCTTCAATTCTTTAATTTTTCGATTTTTCATTTTTTAGTTTTTGTAAGGTTTCGATTTTTCGACTTCACTTTTTGGATTTTTCGATTGCTCAATTTTTCGACTTTTTAGGTTCTCAATTTTTGGATATTTCAGTTTTCGGATTTTTCAGGTTTTCCATTTTTTAGTCTTTCAATATCTCAGTTTTGGGATTTTTCAATATTTCGATGTGTCGATTATTTTACTTTTTCGATTTTTCAATTTTTCGATTTTTAAATTTTAGATTTTTTAATTTTTAAAATTTTAGATTTTTCGATTTCTCGATTTTTCAGTTCAGTTCTTCGATATTTGAATTTTTCAAGTTTTCGAATTTTTCAAATGTTTCGGTTTCTTAATCTTTTGATTTTTCGACTTCCCGCTTTTAGATTTTCTGTTTTTCAATTGTCATTTTGTCAAATTTTCGATTTTTTAATTTTTCAAATTTGACTTTCATAAACTCTCAATTTTTTTATGTTTAACTAACCCCACCCACCACCGTTTTTTAATTTAATTGGCTTATTTGATTAGATGAAGACTGATTTTTTTATCAAGTGGTCGAATCTACGTTTACAAAAATCGAAGGGGCCCCACCCACCCACCCGGTTTTCTTTGTGGATTTTTAGTTTTTAGAATAACACACTTCTTTGTCACACACCGTAGACTTTAAAAACCATGGAGAAGCTTTCTTTTGTATGTGGGATGGCACTCGTGCCATTTTGGTGACAGTATTAAGCCACATTTCACGTCTGAGCATGGAGTTCGTTAATTCATCTCATCAAATAATCACTAAAAACACGTGAAGTCGCTCGTTGCGCGGCTGAACGCGCTCTCATTTCCGCGTTTTCTGTCTAGGTGGCAACATCATCCCGACGGCCTTCCACCCGGGCCCCAATTTCCCCGGATACGGTCCCGTGCAGATCGCAGCAGCGCCACTGGGTCCGAGACAGTTTCTGCCGCCGCCGATCTTCTACTGGCCGTACCCTAGTCCCCCGGTCTCCCCTACGAACTACTACCCGACCATGCCGCCCCCTGGAGCCCTGCCCCCGCAGCAGCCGCAGCAAGCCATGGTAACGTAACAGTCCTCCGCGTGCGACATGACGCTAATTTGGGTTTCGCAGATGCCGCCAGAGTGCGTGGCGCTGCCGCCCATGGCGCCCATGCCCGCCATGGACGCCCGGATCATGGTAGATGGGATCCCCCGACCCGAGCACGACAAGGCCAGACAGAATTTCGTTCCGAATCAGTATGTTGAGTTGAAGATTTAATCGATCGCTCGTACCTAACCTAGTATCACCGAAATAAGAAAATGCTGAGATTCAGTGACATTGTAACTTCTAATTGCACATATCAGATACTTGTATAAATGGAATTAATATATAGCGACTATTTAAATTAATATATATTGCAGATTATAATATATTTTCTTGTTAATATAAATTATTATGTTTTTAAATTATCTTTATCTCAGTTTAGCGTAGATTAAGTACCTAAGATCGTAGCCGACTGGAGTGGGTTCACACACTAAGTGTGGACGACCTCCGGGTTTTATTTAGCAGACTGCTTGTGAAATATTAGTGCAATTTTATCGATTGATTAAGGCACGAGATTATTGATTACTTTTAAGAAAAGAATGTTAACAACAAAAATTGCGTTGTCTTCCACTAGAGTAATCAATGTGATTGTTTTATTTTAAGGAATAGCCTCGCTTAACTGCTTACTCTATGTGATTTATTATTAGTAGCCTGTACTCGTAGTTACACTGCAATATCGTTACTGTTAGTGAAAGAATTGAATTCCTACGCAACGAAATACTCATAATTAGTACGAGGCAAATTATGTTATCGTTAAGTTTAGCTAAGTTTCAAAAACAAGCTCAAAATTAGTAGGTAATGTGCAATAAACTAAGAGTTGAATAGGTATGTTTCTCTACAATATTCTATTAGTGATACTTATTAGTCAAAATGACTATAAAACATAGTTGAATTTATTGTTAAATCGATTAAAACATATTATTTTATAGTATGTTATGAAGACATAGTCATAAAACATTTTATATAATTTTTCTTGATTTCGGTTTCGCGCCGAAAACATTAGTCGAGTTAGTGTACCTATCTATAATTAACTTCTAGTTGATAAGAATTTACTTAAATGACACTATTATTAAGTTTTCTAAGATCTAGATTCAACCAAGTGTACGAAGAGTGGCTGATTTTTTAAACAAGGTCTGAAGAAAGATGCAAAGAGTATCAGATTTAAACACTTTGCGCGCTGTTTTGTTTTCTTATAATATTTAAGACAATAAATATCGTTGTTACTTAAAATTTGTGTTTTTTTACTTGTCGAGCAGAAAATGGCAGCTGTCATACAATTTGACAAGCAGGTATGCCATCATACAATTATAAATAGGTTGCCAACCTGAAAAAAAAATTAATAGTCACTTGTGTCTCCTTTAATCCGCAAGCAGAGAACATAGAGAAGCGTCATAGTTTAAATTAAATGACGTTTGAGGACTCCTCGACTTATGTTGGCAACAGTGTTTGTTTCTAGCTAGCAATAAAATTAACTACAAAAAAAATGTCATAGACACTAGATTTACCAGAATATTATGAGCTGTTTACTGTTTCCTTCACTTTAATTCAGGTCACACGAATTATTTTCAAATTCTCAGTTTTTCGAAATTTTAGTTTGGGAACTTTTCAGTTTACTCCTATTTATTATTCAATTTATGGATTTTACAATTTCTCGGTTTTCAGTTTTTCTCTTCGATTTTACGATTTTTAAATATTGCGATTTTTCAATTTTTGACTTTTATAAACTCTTTATTTGTCGATTTTTCAGTTAATTGATTTTTCAGGTTTTTTGGTTTTTCAATTTTTCTATTTTTTCAGGTTTCGATTTTTCAACTTCACTTTTTTGATTTTTCGATTTCTCAATTTTTTAATTACTCAATTTTTGGATATTTCTGTTTTGGGATTTTTCAATATTTCGATCCTTCGACTTTTCGATTTTTGACTCCTGGGTTTTTCGATGTGTCGATTACTTTACTTTTTCGATTTCTAAATTTTAGATTTTTTAATTTTTAAAATTTTAGAATTTTCGATTTCTCGATTTTTCAGTTCAGTTCTTCGATATTTGAATTTTTCAAGTTTTCGAATTTTTCAAATGTTTCGGTTTCTTAATCTATTGATTTTTCGACTTCCCGGTTTTAGATTTTCTGATTTTCAATTGTCATTTTGAAAAATTTTCGATTTTTTAATTTTTCAAATTTGACTTTCATAAACTCTCAATTTTTTGATTTTTGACTAACCCCACCCACCTCCGTTTTTTAATTTAATTGGCTTATTTGATTAGATGAAGACTGATTTTTTTATCAAGTGGTCGAATCTACGTTTACAAAAATCTAAGGGGCCCCACCCACCCACCCGGTTTTCTTTGTGGATTTTTAGTTTTTCGATTTGTCGATTTTTTGGGTTTTAAATTCTTCCGTGTTTTACTTTTCGGTTTTTCGAATTTGGCCTATTTCAATTTTTCGACATCTCGACTTTCGATTTTTAGATTTCTGGATCTGTTGCTGTTTGGATTTCTCGATGTTTCAGTTTTTGAATTTTTCAATGTTTCGATATTTAAATTTTTCGATTTGCCAATTTTTCGCATATGTAAGTTTTAGATTTTTCAGTTTTTTGATGTTTCGATTTCTCAATCTCGCGATTTTTCGACTTGAGGTTTTAGATTTTTCGGGTTTTCAGTTTTTCTATTTTTCAATTTATCGACATTTCGATGTTTCGGTTTTTTGATTGATCAATTTGTGGATTTTTCGATTTTTAGATTTTTTAATTCTTCAATTTTTCGGTTCATTGATGTTTCGATTTTTCACTTGTTCGATATTTTCTTTTTTCAATTTTTAAAATTTTAGATTTTTCGACTTCTGGGTTTCTCGATTTTTCGGTTTTTCTATTTCTCGATTTTTACCTTTTGGATTTTTCAATTTTTCAACATTTTATTTATCAATTTTTAAAGCTTTAGAATTTCCGATTGGTTCTTCGATATTTCAATTTTTCTTTAGATTTTCCAGTTTTTTGTTGTTTCAACTTCTGGGTTTTAGCTTTTTCGATTTATCGGTTTTTTAAATTTTAAATTTTTAAGTATTTAACTTTTTGGTTTTTCAATTCGATTTCTCAATTTTTCCATTTTTCAACATATCGTTTTTTCAATTTTCCGATTTCCCAATTTTCCGCCATTTCAGCTTTGGAATTTTTCCATTTTCTCGATTTTTCAGTTTTTCCAATTTTCCAATTTTTAAAACTAAAGATTTTTTGATTTTTCGTTTTTTCGATTATTCAGTTCTTCCATATTTATATTTTCCAATTTTTCGCATTTTTGAGTTTTAGATTTTCCAATTTTTTGATGCCGATTTCTTGGATTTGTCGATCCTCGATTTTTCTAAACTTGAGGTTTTAGATTTTTCGATTTGCCAATTTTCCGGGATTTGAGTTTTGGAATTTTTCCATTTTTTATATTTTTCAATTATCCGATTTTTCAATTTTTAAAACTTTAGATTTGTGCATTTCTCGATTTTCCAATTCTTCAGTTCTTCGATATTCCTGCTTTTCAATTTTTCGCATATGTAAGTTTTAGATTTTTCAGTTTTTTGAAGTTTCGCTTTCTCAATCTCTCGATTTTTCGGTTTTTCAGTTTTTCAATTTTTCAATTTTTCGATTTCTCAATTTATCGATATTTCGATGTTTCGGTTTTTGATTGTTCAATTTGAGGATTTTTCGATTTTTCAATCGTTGGATTTTTAGATTTCTTAAAATTTGGATTTTCAGTTTTTCGATTTTTAAATTTTAGATTTTTTAACTCTTCAAATTTTCGATTCATTGATGTTTCGATTTTTCAATTGTTCGATATTTTCTTTTTCCAATTTTTTAAATTTTAGATTTTTCGACTTCTGGGTTTCTCTATTTTTCGGTTTTTCTATTTCTCGATTTTTACCTTTTGGATTTTTCAATTTTTAATACTTCGATTTCTGGATTTTTCAATTTTTCAATTTTTCAACATTTTATTTATCAATTTTTAAAGCTTTAGAATTTCCGATTGGTTCTTCGATATTTCAATTTTTCTTTAGATTTTCCAGTTTTTTGTTGTTTCGACTTCTGGGTTTTAGATTTTTCGATTTATCGGTTTTTTAAATTTTAATTTTTTCAGTATTTAACTTTTTGGATTTTCAATTTGACTTATCTCGATTTCTCAATTTTCCGCCATTTCAGCTTTGGAATTTTTCCATTTTCTCGATTTTTCAGTTTTCCAATTTTCCGATTTTTAAAACTAAAGATTTTTTGATTTTTCGTTTTTTCGATTATTCAGTTCTTCCATATTTATATTTTCCAATTTTTCGCATTTTTGAGTTTTAGATTTTCCAATTTTTTGATGCCGATTTCTTGGATTTCTCGATCCCTCGATTTTTCTAAACTTGAGGTTTTAGATTTTCGAATTTTTTTTAATTTTCCAGTGTCTCTATTTTTCAATTTTTCCATTTCTCGATTTATCTAAATTTTGAAATTTTGAAATTTTTGGATTTTTTTTAATTATAAATTTTAAAATTTCGATTTCTCTTTTGATGTTTGGATTTTTCAATGTTTCAGTAATTGAATTTTGCAATGTTTCGCTTTTTGGATGTATTTGGTTTTTGGATTTATCGATTTTTTTTAATTTAAAATTTTTAAATTTTCGATTTTTCTTTTGATGTTACAATTTTCACAATGTTTGTCGATTTTTTGTCTTTTCGGCATCCGATTATTCGGTTTTCCAATTTTTCTAGGTTTCGATTTTAAAATTTTTCGATGTCCCAATTTTTCGCAATTTCGGCCTTCGGAATCCCGTTTTAGATTTTCTGTTTTTCAATTGTCGTTTCTTCAAATTTTCGATTTTTCAATTTTTCAAATTCGACATTTATAAACTGTCAATTTTTCGATTTTTCAATTTTTCAAATTCGACATTTATAAACTGTCAATTTTTCGATTTTTCAATTAATCGATGTTTTGATTTTCCCATTTCTTGACTTTCGAAGGTTTCGATATTCTTGTTCTTCAGTTCTTTAATTTTTCGATTTTTCATTTTTTAGTTTTTTAAGGTTTCGATTTTTCGACTTCACTTTTTGGATTTTTCGATTGCTCAATTTTTCGACTTTTTAGGTTCTCAGTTTTTGGATATTTCAGTTATCGGATTTTTCAGGTTTTCCATTTTTTAGTCTTTCAATATCTCAGTTTTGGGATTTTTCAATATTTCGATGTGTCGATTATTTTACTTTTTCGATTTTTCAGTTTTTCGATTTTTAAATTTTAGATTTTTTAATTTTTAAAATTTTAGATTTTTCGATTTCTCGATTTTTCAGTTCAGTTCTTGGATATTTGAATTTTTCAAGTTTTCGAATTTTTCAAATGTTTCGGTTTCTTAATCTTTTGATTTTTCGACTTCCCGCTTTTAGATTTTCTGTTTTTCAATTGTCATTTTGTCAAATTTTCGATTTTTTAATTTTTCAAATTTGACTTTCATGAACTCTCAATTTTTTGATTTTTGACTAACCCCACGCACCACCGTTTTTGAATTTAATTGGCTTATTTGATTAGAGGAAGACTGATTTTTTTATCAAGCGGTCGAATCTACGTTTACAAAAATCGAAGGGGCCCCATCCACCCACCCACCCGGTTTTCTTTGTGGATTTTTAGTTTTTAGAATAACACACTTCTTTGTCACACACCGTAGAGTTTAAAAACCATGGAGAAGCTTTCTTTTGTATGTGGGATGGCACTCGTGCCATTTTGGTGACAGTATTAAGCCACATTTCACGTCTGAGCATGGAGTTCGTTAATTCATCTCATCAAATAATCACTAAAAACACGTGAAGTCGCTCGTTGCGCGGCTGAACGCGCTCTCATTTCCGCGTTTTCTGTCTAGGTGGCAACATCATCCCGACGGCCTTCCACCCGGGCCCCAATTTCCCCGGATACGGTCCCGTGCAGATCGCAGCAGCGCCACTGGGTCCGAGACAGTTTCTGCCGCCGCCGATCTTCTACTGGCCGTACCCTAGTCCCCCGGTCTCCCCTACGAACTACTACCCGACCATGCCGCCCCCTGGAGCCCTGCCCCCGCAGCAGCCGCAGCAAGCCATGGTAACGTAACAGTCCTCCGCGTGCGACATGACGCTAATTTGGGTTTCGCAGATGCCGCCAGAGTGCGTGGCGCTGCCGCCCATGGCGCCCATGCCCGCCATGGACGCCCGGATCATGGTAGATGGGATCCCCCGACCCGAGCACGACAAGGCCAGACAGAATTTCGTTCCGAATCAGTATGTTGAGTTGAAGATTTAATCGATCGCTCGTACCTAACCTAGTATCACCGAAATAAGAAAATGCTGAGATTCAGTGACATTGTAACTTCTAATTGCACATATCAGATACTTGTATAAATGGAATTAATATATAGCGACTATTTAAATTAATATATATTGCAGATTATAATATATTTTCTTGTTAATATAAATTATTATGTTTTTAAATTATCTTTATCTCAGTTTAGCGTAGATTAAGTACCTAAGATCGTAGCCGACTGGAGTGGGTTCACACACTAAGTGTGGACGACCTCCGGGTTTTATTTAGCAGACTGCTTGTGAAATATTAGTGCAATTTTATCGATTGATTAAGGCACGAGATTATTGATTACTTTTAAGAAAAGAATGTTAACAACAAAAATTGCGTTGTCTTCCACTAGAGTAATCAATGTGATTGTTTTATTTTAAGGAATAGCCTCGCTTAACTGCTTACTCTATGTGATTTATTATTAGTAGCCTGTACTCGTAGTTACACTGCAATATCGTTACTGTTAGTGAAAGAATTGAATTCCTACGCAACGAAATAGTCATAATTAGTACGAGGCAAATTATGTTATCGTTAAGTTTAGCTAAGTTTCAAAAACAAGTTCAAAATTAGTAGGTAATGTGCAATAAACTAAGAGTTGAATAGGTATGTTTCTCTACAATATTCTATTAGTGATACTTATTAGTCAAAGTGACTATAAAACATAGTTGAATTTATTGTTAAATCGATTAAAACATATTATTTTATAGTATGTTATGAAGACATAGTCATAAAACATTTTATATAATTTTTCTTGATTTCGGTTTCGCGCCGAAAACATTAGTCGAGTTAGTGTACCTATCTATAATTAACTTCTAGTTGATGAGAATTTACTTAAATGACACTATTATTAAGTTTTCTAAGATCTAGATTCAACCAAGTGTACGAAGAGTGGCTGATTTTTTAAACAAGGTCTGAAGAAAGATGCAAAGAGTATCAAATTTAAACACTTTGCGCGCTGTTTTGTTTTCTTATAATATTTAAGACAATAAATATCGTTGTTACTTAAAATTTGTGTTTTTTTACTTGTCGAGCAGAAAATGGCAGCTGTCATAAAATTTGACAATCAGGTGTGCCATCATACAATTATAAATAGGTTGCCAACCTAAAAACAAAATTAATAGTCACTTGTGTCTCCTTTAATCCCCAACCAGAGAACATAGAGAAGCGTCATAGTTTAAATTAAATGACGTTTGAGGACTCCTCCACTTATGTTGGCAACAGTGTTTATGTCTAGCTAGCAATAAAATTAACTACAAAAAAAAATGTCATAGACACTAGATTTACCAGAATATTATAAGCTGTTTACTGTTTCCTTCACTTTAATTCAGGTCACACGAATTACTTTCGAATTCTCAGTTTTTCGAAATTTTAGTTTAGGGACTTTTCAGTTTACTCCTATTTATTATTCAATTTTTGGATTTTACAATTTCTCAATTTTTCAATTTCTCAGTTTTCAGTTTTTCTCTTCGACTTCAAATTTCGATTTTCAAATATTTCGATTTTTCAATTTTTGACTTTTATAAACTCTTTATTTGTCGATTTTTCAGTTAATTGATTTTTCAGGTTTTTTGGTTTTTCAATTTTTCTATTTTTTCAGGTTTCGATTTTTCAACTTCACTTTTTTGATTTTTCGATTTCTCAATTTTTTAATTACTCAGTTTTTGGGTATTTCAGTTTTGGGATTTTTCAATATTTCGATCCTTCGACTTTTCGATTTTTGACTCCTGGGTTTTTCGATGTGTCGATTATTTTACTTTTTCGATTTCTAAATTTTAGATTTTTTAATTTTTAAAATTTTAGAATTTTCGATTTCTCGATTTTTCAGTTCAGTTCTTCGATATTTGAATTTTCCAAGTTTTCAAATTTTTCAAATGTTTCGGTTTCTTAATCTTTTGATTTTTCGACTTCCCGGTTTTACATTTTCTGTTTTTCAATTGTCATTTTGTAAAATTTTCGATTTTTTAATTTTTCAAATTTGACTTTCATAAACTCTCAATTTTTTGACTTTTGACTAACCCCACCCACCTCCGTTTTTTAATTTAATTGGCTTATTTTATTAGATGAAGACTGATTTTTTTATCAAGTGGTCGAATCTACGTTTACAAAAATCTAAGGGGCCCCACCCACCCACCCTGTTTTCTTTGTGGATTTTTAGTTTTTCGATTTGTCGATTTTTTGGGTTTTAAATTCTTCAGTTTTTAACTTTTCGGTTTTTCGAATTTGGCCTATTTCGATTTTTCGACATCTCGACTTTCGATTTCTAGATTTCTGGATCTGTTGCTGTTTGGATTTCTCGATGTTTCAGTTTTTGAATTTTTCAATGTTTCGATATTTAAATTTTTCGATTTGCCAATTTTCCAGGATTTGAGTTTTGGAATTTTTCCATTTTCTCGATTTTTCAGTTTTTATATTTTTCAATTATCCGATTTTTCAATTTTTAAAACTTTAGATTTGTGCATTTCTCGATTTTCCAATTCTTCAGTTCTTCGATATTCCTGCTTTTCAATTTTTCGCATATGTAAGTTTTAGATTTTTCAGTTTTTTGATGTTTCGATTTCTCAATCTCTCGATTTTTCGACTTGAGGTTTTAGATTTTTCGGTTTTTCAGTTTTTCTATTTTTCAATTTTTCGATTTCTCAATTTATCGATATCTCGATGTTTCGGTTTTTTGATTGTTCAATTTGTGGATTTTTCGATTTTTCAATCGTTGGATTTTTCAATTTCTTAAAATTTGGATTTTCAGTTTTTCGATTCGAATCGGTTTTTTAAATTTTAAATTTTTCAGTATTTAACTTTTTGGCCTATCTCGATTTCTCAATTTTTCGGTTTTTCAACATCTCGTTTTTTCAATTTCTCGATTTCCCAATTTTCCGCCATTTTAGCTTTGGAATTTTTCCATTTTCTCGATTTTTCAGTTTTTCCAATTTTCTGATTTTTAAAACTAAAGATTTTTTGATTTTTCGTTTTTTCGATTATTCAGTTCTTCCATATTTATATTTTCCAATTTTCGCATTTTTGAGTTCTAGATTTTCCAATTTTTTGATGCCGATTTCTTGGATTTCTCGATCCCTCGATTTTTCTAAACTTGAGGTTTTAGATTTTTCGATTTTTTTTAAATTTTTCAGTGTCTCTATTTTTCAATTTTTCTATTGCTCGATTTATTTAGATTTTGATGTTTCCATTTTTGATTGTTCAATCTGTGGAATTTTCGATTTATCAATTTTTGGATTTTTTTTTAATTATAAATTTTAAAATTTTCGATTTTTCTTTTGATGTTTGGATTTTTCAATGTTTGAGTAATTGAATTTTGCGATGTTTCGCTTTTTGGATTTATTTGGTTTTTGGAATTTATCGATTTTTTTTTAATTTAAAACTTATAAATTTTCGATTTTTCTTTTGATGTTACAATTTTCACAATGTTTGTCGATTTTTTGTCTTTTCGGCTTTCGATTTTTCGGTTTTCCAATTTTTCTAGGTTTCGATTTTAAAATTTTTCGATTTCCCAATTTTTCGCATTTTCGGCCTTCGGAATCCCGTTTTAGATTTTCTGTTTTTCAGTTGTCGTTTCTTCAAATTTTCGATTTTTCAATTTTCCAAATTTGACATTTATAAACTGTCAATTTTTCGATTTTTCAATTAATCGATGTTTTGATTTTCCCATTTCTTGACCTTCGAGTGTTTGATTTTCCTGTTCTTCAATTCTTTGATTTTTTGATTTTTCAGGTTTTTGATTTTTCAATTTTTCGATTTTTTAAGGTTTTTATTTTTCGACTTCACTTTATTGATTTTTCGATTTTTCAGTTTTTAGATAAATCATTTTTAGCATTTTTCAATATTTCAATTCTTGGGCTTTTCTATTTTTGACTTCTGGATTTTTCGATGTATCTACCTTTTTACTTTTTCGATTTTTAAATTTTTGGATTTTTAAATTTTAGATTTTTCAATCTTTTGATATTTTAATTTTTCAATATTTCTTAATCTTTCGCTTTTTCGATTTCTCGATTTTTCATTTCAGTTCTTCGATATTTCCGTGTTTCATGTTTTCGAATTTTTTAAAAGTTTTGATTTCTTAATCTATCGATTTTTCCACTTCCCGTTTTAGATTTTCTGTTTTTCAATTGTCGTTTCTTCAAATTTTCGATTTTTCCATTTTTCAAATTTGATATTTATAAACTGTCAATTTTTCGATTTTTCAATTAATCGATGTTTTTTGATTTTCCCATTTCTTGACTTTCGAGGGTTTAGATATTCCTGTTCTTCAATTCTTTAATTTTTCGATTTTGCATTTTTTAGTTTTTTAAGGTTTCGATTTTTCGACTTCACTTTTTGGATTTTTCGATTGCTCAATTTTTAAACTTTTTAGATTCTCAGTTTTCGGATTTTTCAGGTATTCCATTTTTCAGTTTTTCTTTCATTTTTCAGTTTTTCGGTGTCTCAGTTTTGGGATTTTTCAATATTTCGATTCTTAGACTTTTCGATTTTTGACTCCTGGATTTTTCGATGTGTCTACCTTTTTACTTTTATTATTTAACTTTTTCGATTTTTAAATTTTCGATTTTTTAATTTTTTAAATTTTAGATTTTTTGATTTCTCGATTTTTCAGTTCAGTTCTTCGATATTTGAATTTTTCAAGTTTTCGAATTTTTCAAATGTTTCGGTTTCTTAATCTTTTGATTTTTCGACTTCCCGGTTTTAGCTTTTCTGTTTTTCAATTGTCATATCGTCAAATTTTCGATTTTTTAATTTTTCAAATTTGACTTTCATAAACTCTCAATTTTTCGATTTTTCAATTAACCGTTGTTTTGATTTTCCCATTTCTTGACCTTCAAGTGTTTCGATTTTCCTAGTTCTTTAATTTTTTGATTTTTCAATTTTTATATTTTTTATGGTTTTTATTTTCGACTTCACTTTTTTGATTTTTCGATTTTTCAGTTTTTAGATATTTCAGTTTTAGGATTTTTCAATATTTCAATTCTTCGGCTTTTCTATTTTTGACTTCTGGATTTTTCGATGTGTCTACCTTTTTACTTTTTTGATGTTTCAATTTTTGGATTTTTAAATTTTAGATTTTTCTATCTTTTGATATTTTAATTTTTTCAATATTTCTTAATCTTTCGATTTTTTTTTAGATGTTCTGTTTTTCAATTTTTCGATTTGTTAATTTTTCATTCCCGATTTTTCGAGATTTGATTGTTCAGGTTTTAGATTTATCAGTTTTTCAAATTTTTTTTGGCCTATTTCGGTTTCTCAGTTTTTCCAGTTTTCCATTTTTTCGTTTTTTGATTTTTCCGCTTTTCCAATTTTTCAACTTTTAACTTTTTGTTTGTCGATTTTTCGATTTTTCGACTTCATTACTTTTCGATTTCTCGTTCTTTTGATCTTTCAATCTCTCAATTTTTCAAGTTTTCGAATTTTTAAGTATTTGATTTCTCGATTTATCGAGATTTGGATTTATCGATGTTTTGATTGTCAATTTCTCAATTTATAAATTGTTCAGTTTTTAACTTTTCGATTTTTGCCTATT